AAGGCATGTTTGTTTCTCCAGAAAACACACCTTATTGACATTCAAAAATCACTCTTCCTATTAAAGCATTGGAAGAAGTACATAAAACAGGTCAGAAAAAGTTATTCCAACTATGATCCTAAAGCAGAATCTCCCTTGAGCAGGACCTGTAGAATTTTTTGTGTAGAATCTTCATGTGCAAATACATGAAGATTTTTTAAATGTAAGTAAAAGAGATGGTATTTCCTATACCACTCAAAATTGAAAGACTATTTCTATATTTTGTAGCAAATTTCATAGATAGCTGCAATATGCCATACCTGAATTTATCAGATGCAATTTCATACATTAAGAAAAGTGAATTTAATAACCTGCTCCTTAGTGCCAACATTTTGTTACTCCCCTATTTCCTTCTCTGTCCAGTCCCAACTGCACTCCTTCCACTTTATTCATGTATCATTCTGACTAACATTGGAGGTAAGCACCAGATAAATCAGTTTGCTAATCTGGCAAAAAAAGTAGCACAGCAGACGAACTGGTATTTTGCCAGGGTAGTGCATTGGATGGCTCACAGTAATAGATCTGACAAGCAGCAGAATTGGAGCAAAGGAAGGGTCAGGACTGTGCAGCTAAGCTAAAGGTGGGGATAGAGCAATGCTTTCACTGTCATGCATTAGCAAGTCAGAATAATGTTTTGTTTGCCTAGGTACAAAATGGCCACTATATTTTCTGATAACCTGGATAATCAGCAGCTATGCCTACTGGAAAAGATTTGCATGGATTGCAGATGCCTTACAGCTTTGCTCAAGCAACTAATAGTGAAAGTGAAGATTTGCATGCCCCATAACCTGCATCCATGGCAATATGGAGCCTGTAAGTCTAAAGAATTTGTATTAATAACAGTACCAGACCACACTATAACACATACAAAAACATATTAATAATTTAAGCCTGTTTGATGGTGAATTTTTCAGTGATGTGGAGGCCATTCTGGGCTGAGTAGGTAATTTTCTTTGCACTGGATTTAAGATAAACTTCCTCTCAATTCATGATAAGCAAAGATGGTATTAGCTAGAGAAGAGTTTCTTTCAGAATTTCTCACTACAATTGACTTCTAAGTAATCAGCAGTTTGATTTTAAAAAAAAAGAGTAGACATTTTATTCTGTATGTTTAAAGTAGAGAGCTGTAATGGCTAAGCACAGCTCTGATGCCATAGAAGAACTCCAAAGGAAAGGATTCAATGACTCCAGGAAGTATTTAGAATTTGTCAAGAATTGAACAAGAATTTGTCAGTTGAATAAATGACAATATTGAAATATACATCCTGAAATCTGAGCACAGCATGCCACTTCTTCAGATTTGTTACTGGAATAATCACTGATAACAATACTGATTTTAATCTATTTATTCAGATGGAGAACGTGAAAAACCCCCAGACTTCTCCTTTTCCTCTGAAATCAAGAAGAGACTTAAGTCTGACCAAATATCTTAATTTCTCACCTCCTTGCTTAGTGATACGGACCCTCCTCTGACAGCAACCAGAGACTGCAGAGTAGGTTTTATTGTGTAAGAAGGTTCCTCACATTGGGACTAGAAAAGATGGATATGGAGACAATAAAAAAAGGAATTCAATTTCATAGCCCCTCTTCAATAGAATGTGTTTTCCTGAAGCAAGGATATTCCACTTGGAGTGGTATCAGGCAATGATCTGAACAATGATCACAAGTATGAGAGCTGGAATCAGGCTTCCAACAGGAAGAAAAGATCTCAAAGGAGAAATGAAATTTGCTATCTTTAGTACAAAGGTAAAGAATGACCAGATGCCAGAGCAACTGTTTCAGGAGTGGGGTTTTGGCCCTTTATTTGCAGCTTTGTTAGGTAGTAACTCCTCCATTGATGGTTTGCAGTGCAGGCTGATTCTGTGGGCAGCACCCATGAGGATCCAGTACACAGCAGCCATCGCTGTAGATAATGCCTGCAGTTGTTTGAACTTCCTTGGGAAACCCTTGGGAAACCCACAGAGACTGCCAGGATCAGTAAAGCATAGCAGCAATTCCCAGTGCTACAGGAGCTACAGCAGTTGCATCTAAGCACCCTGAAAAGAAATCTAGGAGAAAACAAATTGACTGCCATACCAAAATGATCTTCCATTTATCTCTGCATCCTAATGGCAGCTTATGAATAATAGGCTTTATTTCAGGACAATATAACATAGTCAACTTCAGTACTGCTGCTGGATCACTCAAAATGATCACCTGAAGGCCTGATGTTAGAAATTAATTCACGACACAAAAGGACATGCTTCTTTTTCTTAAAAAACAGCTTGTCTTTCAAGACCTTTCTGTTACCTTGTGACCAGTAAAAATACCAATACCCTGTAAATTTTTTAGAAAATTAAGGAAGCAACAATACCATCATGTGACTTGGACTCATCACCAGAAAACTTGTTCTATATCATTACATGAATATTAAACATAAATTCAGTCTTCCTATCCTTTTGTGTTCCCTAAAGAAGAGACTCTGATCCAAACCAGGTACCTTTAGCACTACCAGTAAACAAACAAATAAATAATTGGGTGAATTTCTCTGATGGCAGCCAAGTAGTCTGTCCTTTCACTCCATCAACACTACTGTTTAGAAACACCAGCCAAACACAATGTATGTATGGAAAGAATTCCATTTTTCTTACATGACATACTCATGGCAGAATGAAATTGTGCAGTTCTGTTAAAAAGTATTTTTACAGGATACTGTGGAAAACTTAAGAGCCACTAAAACCTGTATTTTCCTTAGTTTGCTAAAAAAACACCCCATATTATGAATTGTACTTTCAGGTGTAATATTTCATCTGTTACATCTTGGCTTGAATTTTATTCCCTGATTTCAACAGCTACAAACATCTGCAACAAGACTGGCTTAAATGAGTGATGTTCAGGGGGCAGTCTTAGAGCCTATTTCACTGCAAATTTATTAGTCCACAAGTAGGTTTTTTTATATAATATGTTCAGCAAAACTTACAGCCAAGTGAAGAAAAGAAACCTCAGTTAAAATGAATAAATAAGTAATTCTTTCTATGGCACCCTCTGTCTTCAAAGCACAGTTTCCATTAACTCAGGGCTCAATTAAGCAAACCAGGCTCTCTGTGACTAAGCTGAGAAGCATTTATCTCATGACATATCCTCCAAAAAAAAAAAAAAAAACAAACTCCCTGGTAATCCTGATGCTCTTGCTTGGTTAAGATACTAAAATTGCTAGAAATTTTTCCATGAATGAGATAGGAGTTTGCTAGCAAACAGGAGAAGAAATGTTAAAAGGAAGGACACTTTGAAAAACATTCTCTTCCCTTCTGCTAACTCTTTATATTCTATTTTTATAGAAAACATATAGAGAATTTTATATAAGCTTAGAACCACAGCTATTTTCCCACTTAATGTTCTATTCCTGTGGCAGGAGACATGCAGGTTTAAATTAATTCTACATGAACCTGTATTAATTCAGGTTCTGTACCTGCATTTTCCTCAAAGGAGGGATTTGTAGGGATAGAGGATGCCTAGCTAGTGACAGCACTGCTCCTAGAAAAGCCACATTGCTGAGATGGAAAGAAGAGGTGGGCTCAGTAGTTAATATTCTGCAAGGTCATCGTCATACTTCTACCATGAAATTCCCAATACCCTCACTCTGATGATATCAGTGAAGCTTCCAGGGACAAAGCCTCAGATTTTTAACCTTGCACACCTCTAAAAAGAAGAAATCATGACTACTAGACTTGCACTTCCCAGAAGTGCACAAATTCACAGACACTTTCTTCTTTGCATTTGAATATAATATATTTAACTTACTTCACATAGGTAAGAAATAAAAAGTAGAACTATTAAAGCAGAGCTTGTCACATAACTTGAGGTTTAGCCGAGTCGTGTGAGAAATTCTGAATCAGATAGAAATTGAGGTTTACAAAAATGCGACTGTTCAGACCAAGAGTACCCAAAAATAGAAGAACCAAAGTTTTAGCTATGTTACATGAGGCACAGGCTTCTTTTCCACAAAGAGAGTTTTCTTCACTTTGTAACCTGCCTTGGATTCATTACATTTATAGTTACCTTGGGAACAGGGATAGTAAAAGAGCCAGAAAATATTATATTGCTATTTCATACAGCATTGTGCCCTCCTTTAAACACATAATTTATTTGGCTACAAAAAGTTTGTAAAAAACTATTGATTTATTAGTTCTGTATTCTGTAACTTTTAAACCTTCTTGTAATAGTCTTTCTCCTTTTTTTCCTTGCTTTATATGTATTTTCACTGAAGGGGAAAACATTGGAACCATGCCAAACTAAGAAAATTATGTAGAGAAACATTTTGAAATACATCATAGTTAAATATTCTTAATTTTTTTCTTTAATTTAAGTCTTCAGATTTTAATTATCTTGTAATTAAATTTATTCAGTATAGACTTCTAACTTCAAAATCCTACTGTACTAAAAACAACATACAAATTGCTGGCACTGAAGTACCTTTATAATTAACAAAAACAAATAGGCACTTTTATAGTGCTTCACCTTCTCCTCTGGGAAGAGAGGAATTCTGTCCTAAAATTGCTTATTTCCCACCATTCACTTGGAAGTGTCTAAATAATTTCATACCTAGCCATCTAACTGCAATCCAACACTGGCTAACTGCATTGCAGCAATGAATTTATCAATTGCTAGCAAACATTCTCAACTTGCTCATTACCACTTTGCTGTCCACTTTTACTTTTCATGCTGAAAAAGATCAATTCTGTTTTATCTTAACCAATATATACCAAAACGACATGCTTAAAAATGCAATCAGGAATTGTTCTTTGAACCCCTTAGGGACCTGGCTGATTCCTCAACAGCACATCTTCTTCCAGTGTGTCTCATAAAGAAAATGAAGTAGAACATAACAACTGCAGCCTTACCTGAGCGCTTGAGGAAGGTAACTCCCATCCCTGTGTTACAAATACACAGAAATGGTGCAAATTCTGAATGAGAAAGGATACATTCGTATGGCTCCTGTTCTTGTTCCAATTGCCAGAATTTTCTGAACTGGGTCAAAAGCTAAGGCAGTGGGTAGGTAAGGAAATCCATGGCGAACCGTCTGAAACAGAGCAAAGGAGCAAAGTGACTGAACTGCAACCACAGAAAACAGCAGGAATGTTTTATGCTTATGATTTTCTGTATGTTGTAGCATTTTCAATACATTTCAAGAGAAGTATTTAGAAAGATACAGTATTCTGAATACAGAGGTCAATTTTGTTCATATTATTTTCTAGTTATGCTTTTCACTCTAGTATTTTAAATGGTTTTATTGTAAGAAAGTAGACTGCAAAGTACATGTTATTATACAACTGGCATATATTGCTGAAGTGGTATACTGAAAGATAACCTTAATATGCAGGGCAGCTGAACTGTAAACTGAAAAAAAAAAAACCATAATATGCTTTCAAAACACTCAGCCTCAACAGAACAGCTCCAGCAGAAAGGAATGGAATATGTCCAGGGGAAAAGATCCAATAAACCAATAAACTGAATCGAGTTTATGAGGTAAGAACCCTTAATATCAATTTAAAAAAACAAAGACGCCAGAGATGTTCTCAAAATGAGCAGCTGAACCACTCACCCTTTCTTAACCTTTATTTACAATACTATTCTTTTAATTCTAATTTTTGCAGAGATGCTTTGGGGAATAAATAAACTGAGCATGATACAACACATCCTTGAAGACTGTCTCAGCATTTTAAGCTACCTTAACCTGGAGGTTATGACCAACATTACTCACCCAATTCTTATGAGGAAGAGATGAGGGAGAACACTAATACAAGAACAAAAGTCAAAATAATAAGACACATAAAAAACCCAAGACTCATTAAAAAACACACATAATAATCAACTGTAATTAAACTTGTGTGTGGGGCTGCTTACCTAAACATGGGCACAAAATACTATTTTTTAGTATAATAATAATGGTTTCTATTACTTAACAAAATAAAACCTTGAACTCTAGGACTGACTCTTTTTTTAGTAAGTGGTTGGGATTGGAGAGGAAGTACTTTGAACTGAATGAAATTTAACTTTTTAAGCTGTTTTCCTCTTCCTTGAAATTATCTAGTTCAAGAACTATGTCTGTGAAGCATTCAGCAGTCCCTATGGAACAACATCAACAAAAGGGACTCCTTAATTGCAGACCTGTTGAGTAAAAGGCAGCTGATGATTCCACAGCTGTATCACTCCAACTCTTCCATTGCAGCTGGAAACACTTGAACTGACATTCACAAGCAGTTTGGGAACAACCAAATCTATGTTTTTCAGCAAATAACCACTTCCTTAAAAGAGATCTTACTTGTCTCGTATCTTAATTACTGCTGATAAGGGAAGTTCTTTAAAGAATGTCTAATTATTAGTTTCTAGGCTGAAAAAACCCAGAAGCATATGCTACTTCAGTGAGCTGTAAAAAAGTAACTCAGTTTTTATGTTAATGTAGGCATTTATCAAAGATCTCAGTTCTGTTTCTGATTTGGTGTGCTTTGTGTTTTGGGGTTTTTAAAGTTTCTTATCTTCTTAAGTGTTAGGATTACTCAAATATAAAGTTTTTTATTCTGATATCTAAGCTGGTACCAGACTTACATACCCTAGAAATGGTTTTACCTCTCATGTCACAAAAATATCAGGAATCATGGATTGTAGTATTTTCTAGTGTGTTGAACATATAGCATCTGCTATTATATTTGAAATTTCTGTACTCTGGTGAACAAATATTCTTCCTTATCTGAAAAACTTTATTTTCACCAATTATCCTTTTTTAGTTATTGATTTTAGAAAGGCTTTCTATAATAAAGTTTGAATTCCCATTAGTTCTGATGTTTTGCCATGACTGAGTTTTCAGTGCTATTTTTAAGATCTAAGAATGCAAAAGTAAATATTTTTAAAGACCTATTTGCATCCTTGCCTACATATTTAGGATCTGCATTGTATTTTTAGTATTTCTGCAATCTAGAGTCAGACTTCCCACTTGGAAATTTTAATTGGGTCCTGTATTTGATATAGAACTATGCTTTAAAAGAAGAGTGATGTATACTTTTTCAGGATCATAGCTCAGTACAATTCTTGAACTCTAGGATTGACTCAAAAGTGCTCTTTCTATTTTGCACCCATTTTCCAAATTTGAGTAATTAGACTAATTCAAGTTGTGAGGCTTTTGTGACTGCAAAATTCTGCCATTTGTAAAAATTATTGAAATCCACTGAACATTCAAGTAAATTACACCTTTCAACTAAATATTCATATTCATTAGGATTCCAAAAGAACAAAACCATTTTGGAAGGAAAGCCAAGTTATACATTACAGAGGGCAGAAAAAGATGTCTCTATAAGTGAGGGTATGGCCCAAATTAATTTCAGAAATTATTCTGAAGATTAAATTTATTACAAAAGAACATGGAAAATCTTTAACACGCCAAAATCCCAGGTTCTTGTCCTCAGCTCTGGTCCAACAAAAGCTTTTTGGTCCCTTCTTTTTCAAAGGACTGTAAGAAAGATTGACATGAAAAGCCAGCACTTGGAGTAGACTTTTCAGCTGTGCTTTGATACAGCTCGAGTGAACCTGAGTGTAAGGATGAGTAACAGTTCTAGAACTGTGCCTGGTCTTTCTCACTGCATTTACTATTACAGATGAAAAAGAAGAGAAGGTCACAAAATTAACTTGATCCTAGAGTGACAAAAAAAAAATAAAAAGTACAATCCTGTTTTATCTGAGTTGTGTCCAAGGAACATTAAACAAAACTATCAATGATGCTCAGAAAGGCAAAACTAAGTAGTTGGGGTCAATAGCAGGCAAAAGCAGAAGTATGGTTAAAAACCAGTCTGTGTTCAAAAAAATATAGGGGGGACCTAACTACCCCAAATATCCCAAGAAAGAAGCTGCCAAGAAAATAAAAGGGAGAGAGAAAAACCAGACAGCAGATGGAGCCAGGACTGCTTTTCTCCACATTATCCAGCTTCCTCTTATGTCTCCTTTTTGGGCATGCTGTCTCTAGAGGCAGCCTGTGCCCTCTAGGACATACAGTTTCTGTGCAATATGCAAAGCAATTTACTTGAAACAGAACAATTACAAATGCAGATACAATTTCAGCATAAATCTGAGTTCAGCATAGTTATTTTCTCTTAAATTCTCTTTTAAATCATTTTAAGCAGTGAATTGCATGTATATATCATTAAAGTAATCTTTACACAAACAATTTACCTAAACTAATATAGGAAATTGATTATTTGGACTTACTAGTAATCTACCAATTAACATTTTAATATCCTGTACAGAACATAATGGTATTTTTCAGTCTAAGATACCATGATATATTTCATTTGCTGAAAAAAAATTGCACTAATACTAATATGCAATATCCAGTATAATTGTTCACAGGGTGCATAATGCAATTCTTCTGTATAAGTTTTCTTAACATTTACTCTGTGGTAATTTATCTCAGACTTCAAAGATACCTTTTTAATAAAGTGATAACATTCTCTAAATAGCTCCAGAAAACACAGAACTAAATAAAATTTTAAACTGTACTAACTAATAAAGTTTATAGCCAAAAATGTTTCTGAAAATCTGCGTAAACTTATAATTTGTAATTTTTCTACTAATATTTTATGGATAGCCTGTTTCATTTAACATCTGACAGCAAAAGTGATTTACTTAGGTAAACAATTTTTGAGAATATGTACATTTGCTAAAATTTAACTATGTAGTCTTAACCTGTGGCTCAGTATGTAGAGTCTACTTCCAAATTGTCACCAACACACCACATACAAAAATGTCATTGAAGAATAATTGATTGGTTTACAGAACACAGGATGAAGTGCTGACTGAAACCTCTCCAGCCTCTTGTTCAGCTATGCCGGAAATTAAAAAATGTTAATGATTACAGCATTTTCACCACTTCAATACTATTTTTAGTATTATGGTGCTCCAGGATTGTAGTGATAAAAATGAGTGCTTATACAAATGAGCTGCCATGTATTATATCACTATAAGACCATGACATCTCTCATTTATGGATCTCTGTGTCTGTAAACTGATTGGTAAGACTGATCCCTTCTCATGAAAAATGGAAAGAGGACAAGGTATCAGCAGACTTCCAAGCAAAGTAAACAACACAGGGGAGATAAATTTTTTATTAGTTAAATTTTCATTTTTTGAAGTAATGCTTTTTGTAAAAATCACAGCCTAGCTATGATTTTCAAACCCAAGTTATTAATTCCATCCAGCTCTCAACCTCTAATAGGAATCAGGGCTTCTGGATATTCACAGAATATTCTAAAAAATACCTTTTTGTTTTTTCTTAGATAAAGATACCCACAGATAGTTCTTTTCCTTGGTGTAAAACTAGAAACAGTCATCTGGAAAAAGCCATTTACCAAAGGGACTCTGGACCTGTAGACTGGGAAAGCTGATTGCTGTCCCTGACAAGATGATAAAATAAGAACTAACAGCACACAGATAAAGATTGTTGCACAAGTCAGCAGAGTTTCTTCAATGTGAAATCACATCTGACTAGTTCTCTCTAATTCTATGAAACTGTCAGCATGCTAGTAAATAAAGGGAATATGAATATACATAAGTTTTCCAAAAGCCTTCCAATAATATTCCACTGCAATGTTATTAGAGAAACAGACATGTCATGGGACTGAAGGAATTTCTTTGTGGACTGAAAGCTGGTTAGATCACAGAAAACAAAGGACAGAGTTTTATGGATTTTTTACCATGAAGAAAATCCCAAGTAGATTTCTCCACGCTTGGACCAATTTTATTCATAGTCTTTAATGACCTATAAAAGGTAATGAACCCTGAAGTCTCCAAGATCATAGCTAATAGTAAGCTCCTTTGGAGAGTGAAATTCAGTACTACCAGGGACCAGCTCCTGAAAGACTTCATTAGAGTGACTTAACAGGGCAAGAAGTTGATAAATGAGCTTCAGTGTAGACAGATGTAAGATATCTAGAAGAAAAAACAAAATCTTAACTAGATCTGCACAATGCTGAAATTGGAATTAGCATTTACAACTCAGCAAAGTAATTTTTGGGCATTGTTGTCATTCCTCTG